AACATATGCAAAATACAAAATAACACTTACTTTCAAACAACTGAGTTCAGAAAGGCAAAATACCATACAAAAAAGATTATATATTTATATGGGCCGCTATTATGGATGTCTATTGGATGCTTTGAAAGCCTGTCCCACCCTAGCTTTTGCAAAAGCGGGGCGGTGCTAGAGTTATAACCTAAAAATATATGATCATAGCTGCGCGGTTTTTCAAGCTTTAGAGCCAGTTCTGACCCTGGCATCCGCCCCCGCCCCCCCGCCACCCAAACAACGCTGCAATAATCAAAATAGGGCTGTGTCAAAGAGTTGTACTATGCTATTTTCAGCTGTTTTCAACCATCGACAATCGATCGCGAAAAAGGAGCAACAAACTTGCGGTTTGACCGCCTCAGCCACTGATATGACATTTTTAAAGGTTCTTGTTTTCGTCACGTTTACGGCCAACGGTAAACGTCAATTTCTACTCCGTCTCCAAGCTTTTCCTTTAATTGCCGTTTAGTGTCCATTTTAGTGTCCATTGAAGGTTCAACTTCAACGATGAGAATTGTTTTGCACAGGTTTAAACGTGTAAAGAAACATCAGAAGATGTCTTTGGTAACCACCCTAGATCAGTAAAGGAGTCAAAACGGAAGTCTCGATCTAAGAAGAGGGCTCAGGCGTCCCAGTTCCCTGAATAACTGATAAAAAGTCTAAAAAATCGTAGAGGTCCATCTTTGTTTGAGGAACCAAAATGTAGGTACCGTTCAAGTCAAGAATGACATCATGTTTAGCCACTACAAAAGAGCCGCAGGCGATTTCCGGCCTACGACTAACGCCACGTCGTTTTTACGGAAAGGTCCTTCTAAAACTGAGACTGAGCATAAAAANTAATTGCCGTTTAGTGTCCATTTTAGTGTCCATTAAAGGTTCAACTTCAACGATGAGAATTGTTTTGCACAGGTTTAAACGTGTAAAGAAACATCAGAAGATGTCTTTGGTAACCACCCTAGATCAGTAAAGGAGTCAAAACGGAAGTCTCGATCTAAGAAGAGGGCTCAGGCGTCCCAGTTCCCTGAATAACTGATAAAAAGTCTAAAAAATCGTAGAGGTCCATCTTTGTTTGAGGAACCAAAATGTAGGTACCGTTCAAGTCAAGAATGACATCATGTTTAGCCACTACAAAAGAGCCGCAGGCGATTTCCGGCCTACGACTAACGCCACGTCGTTTTTACGGAAAGGTCCTTCTAAAACTGAGACTGAGCATAAAAAAGTACCCAAGCGCATTTTGTTTCTGTGAAGAATTTCCGCACCCTTTCATCATAATTACGTACATACAGCCATGTACATGTACGTAGTATAATCATATTAATCCTCGAAACTAAAATGGCAGCTTCAAATGACGTTTATGTATAATCTTGCTTACCATTTTAATAAATGTTCTTCAAAGTTGGATGCGCAGGTGTCAACCACTGAGCGTCTTCATTTGGACTGTTTTGTTAGCCGTTTTCCCTGTTTATGGCGCCCAAACCACTCCGTTTGACGTTAACAGGGAGTTTAAGGAGGCTCGCACCCATTTTTCAACGTTTCACCCCTTTGTGTTTGATGCTTCTAATCATAACTTTGGCTGTAATGCATGTACGGAATAGCCATCGGAATTTGTCTCATTAGTCTCCTTGACTGAATTATTCTCATTCTGGTGTGGTTTGAAACGTATCTTCCACCTGCACTCGTTAGATGACTGGTCTTGAAATTGATCACGTCACAAGCGATACAAGGGACATGGATCCACTCGGGCGGTTACGGGTGGTTCAGGGCTGAATGGGTATAATAATGGGTGTGAAATTAATAAACACTCGATGACTGGTCCCTGAGGAAACAGCTAATTTTGTTTCCCGAGATCAGAGGGACTAGTCTTTAAGTGATTTGTTATATAGCCCACAAAGAAAAACTTTTTCGTGTACAAATTTATGAAAATAAATCTCGCGAGCGGTCAACATCCGCGGGTAACAGTACACTGTTACCCTCTGACGTCATACATTTTCCAATGGTGCTCTCTCAGAGATTTTGGCGGGAAACATTTTCATTGTTAGATGTCATATGACCTCGAAGTAACCAATGAGAGCGCGCGCTGTTGGAAAAAATTCAAGAATAAACAAGAAAAAAATGCGAAAGAAGCGAAAAACTACACAAGCATTAAGAGAAATAAAGTGTGCTTATAACGAGAAGAATGACTTAAGTTTAGAATTGATCAAAGCAATATTAGAGGCATTATGAATTTCAGAGCTAAGGGAATTAAACATTTTAGGCCCTTGAAAACGAAGTGAAAAGTTCCTTACATTTGTCCTGCAGTAGGGTAAACGTAATGTACGTCGCAGTTGAGCAAAAACATGTCATTGAAACTATTAGGAATTAGGCCGTCACCGTGTAAAGATACATAACTTTACCTACTTGGAGTTTGATAATAGCATCAAATTTTAGAATTCGTAAGCTCAAAAAATAGGATTGGCATGTGCATCAAAAGAACTACATTTATATACCACCTCTGATAGAAAAGGTACCCCTTTCGTATAGCTTTCACAGATAAAAAGGACTCCTTTCGCACACCTTGTTTAAAAAGCTGCATCCCAATTAACTGTTGTAAGTTAGCATGAATAAATCATTAAACCAGAAATTTCACTTTCACAGCCACTGAAAGCATCTGTTAGCCCTTTTAAGTCCTTTGACAGACCGAAGTGATAGATTTGCCTACCCTTTCATATACTTCAACTCGTGAAATTTTTACCTTTAGTTAATTTTATATACCTGAAACCTGAAAAGGGTACCTTTCGGGGGGAGCCTCCCCGTTTACGCCGTCATAGGGAGTACCCAGTGCCCCCCCCACCCCCCCCCCACCACGTAAGTAGTTTGTACATGTTGCACGGTTGAAGCTCCTTCTACTTGTCTCGAGCAATTTCCGTTTCTAAGGTCATCCAACGCGAAAAATGAAACCAAGCGCTATAAAAGAGAAGGATTGAATTGATGGTTTCCAAAACCCACAAAGGAGACGTCCAGTCAACATTTAACATTCCTTTGAATTGTAGGCAAATTTGTGTTAAAGGAGAAGGAAAAACTTCATCTTTGTAGAGGAAACCTTTCACTAGGCAACGCAATCCACTCCACTAAAAACAACTAATCCTAAACTTTTCTGGATATGGAGATTTACAGGTATAATTATATATCTCTCGTCTAAACAAGAAATTTTGTCTTTTGGGAAGTGAATAATCATAGCTTGAATCAATTTTGTCATGCGGCTTTTTATTTGCATTTCCTTTTTTAGCAGATTTTCCTCGCCAACCTTCCTGTAGTTTTTGGTTATAGTTTTGGTCTTTGGAGGCATTTTGATGCTATTTTCGCCGATACCTAAAACCGACCGTTCACAATTTTGTTTTCTTGCTGCTATCAATTATTGGATTATGTTTCCCTTTCAAACTTATTTATTTCTCTTGTTTATTAATTAAAAATGATGTTGTTTGCCATCAAGGTACAAACCGACTCATGATCAACTCGCACATGAAAAACTTTCCTAGACCAAAAGGGAAGAAACCCAAAAAGAATTTCGAGAAATGACGAAATTTGTTTGTTTTTTTTTGTTTGTTTCTTTTTTTTTGTCCACTTAACGAACGGGAAAATAGTCTGAAATGTCAACCTTCTCCACCCCCGTCCCTAACCTCTGGGGGCGCGGGGGATAGAGTTTCTCTCCCCCGCGCCGCTATCGGGTTAGGGGGCGGAGACAGCTCACATTTCAAACCAACGCGCAAAAAACATCCTTAGCATTGACGTTTATGCATTATTATTGAATTGGTAAAAAAAACACTTTATTTGAGTGTCAATGTGTTTAGCAGGAAAGTGCTACTAGAAGACACTATTTTTAATTGTGCTACTGGAGACGGGTGGTACGTGGTCATCCGAGCCATCCGAAGGTCTAACCGTTTGCAGGGCAAAGGCAGTACTACACCTTTGTTTCTCAGTTATTTTAAGACCACGATTTTGGTCTGGCCCCAAGAAACGAACCCAAGACATCCCCCATTGCAGTAAAGGGCTCTACCGACTGATCTAATCTTAGCGCGGTTTTATTTTCTTCATGAATATGCCCCACCCAATTAAAACTGCGAGTGGATAAAAGTGACTCCTAACTTACACAAAGGAAGTTCAAATTTGTCTTGGTAACTGTGTAATAACCAAAACAGCACAGACTGGTTATTACACAGTTACCAAGTTGTGTAAGTAAGGAGTCACTTTTATGCACTTGCGGTTTTAATTGTATGGGGCATATTCCTGAAGAAAATATTATTGAATCACTATCGGCCACCTGCGTTCCATAAGATATTGATACGATTTACAGAACAAGCCCTGATGAACATTTCTTTAGCTTTTGTAGGTGACAGAGAATTGTACTCTTTACCTTTTTTCTCTTCTTTTCTTTAATTTTATGGTTAGTTACTGACAATATTTGGATTTTTGAGAACAGATCAAAACAGGCACGTAATCATTTTTGTTTTTTACATTTTCGAGCAGGTGCTTTAAAACAGATTATACATGAGTGTTCCTTCACTGTTCCTTTATATCAATGGCGCGAAGACATGTTCTGTTAAAATTAACCATAAGATTGTTAAAATTGGCTAGAATAGACTTTATATCGAGGCATGTTTTCAGTTAAAATGTGATCAAATTATAATAGGGCGAGCTTTGTTGAAACACAATTATGAGCTAAATGCCCTGAAGCAATAATAACAAAAAACTTTGCGGTTGGCCGGAATAGGTTTACTGGCCACCAACATTGTGGCTAGTTTTAATTGAATGTCTAATGCAGTGCTGTCATTGGCTAGAAAAGACTTTGACACACTGTCATCTGAAATAGGAAAATGTTAAGTGTCTGGTGGTTTTATATGTTACTATCACTTTACAAGTGTATAAATATTCCGGCTTACGAGCCCGTTCAAGAAAACTCACTCTTCTGGACCAAATGACGTCTGAACATTAGAATGTTTTCTCCATTTTTTCGTCGGTTCCTTTTCTTTGTGTTGTCCTCAAAGATACTTGAAGCACTGTATGCAGAAGGTTAGTTTTGGAATTTCATTCTTGTTGTTGTTCTTTCTTATATTCTCACAAGCAAAGCCGTTTAAACCTAGACCGTAAGTAAAAAAAAAGGGAAACATAACACTATTTTTAGAGAATTACAAAGCACAAAGAAAGATCTTTAATTGAAAAAAGATTCGAATATTTTAGCTAAGAGTGTATTCAAGAATAGTAGTAAGAAAAAGCGTTTGCTTCCTCATCCTCCATACTTCATGTCTTGACACCCTAATCCACCCCTCAAGTTTGCTAAAAAAAATGAGTTTGAAGCCCATTTGTGCTTACTAGTATCCAAAACCATTTATCTAGTCGCGTGTGGAAAATTAAGCGGAAGGTTCAAAATTTTAGTTTTCTGGTTTTTGGCAAGCGTAGATAAGTTAGTTTTCAAGGATTTACACATATTTTTACAAGTCAGTTAAATATTTTTGTAACTGAATTTATCACTTGAAGTTACCATATTTTTCGCGGGAGTTTTTTGGCCTGTTTCGTGGAATAACATTGTTTTTAATATAATTATAACAGAATCGCATGCAATGCACCGCCCAAATCATCTTCAAGATGTTTTTGTAAAAGAAGAGTACCACTTTTTAAACGTCACTGGAATTGGAACGTTTACAGTGTACGACATCTTTGACTGCACCTTTGAATGCCTCAATAATCCGTCATGTTTGTCTTTGAACCTGGCCGCCTCCAAAGGATCCGATGGAAAACTTTGGTGCGAATTGTTGACTTCGAATGAAGACATCAACCCAGACGAGTTCAAAGAAAACAAGACTTCACACCACTTTTCCTTGAAGATGCGAACATAGTTTTAATTAAACAAGCTCTAAATTATTAATTATCCTGCAGTGTCAAGACTGAAAAACCTAAGCTGAGTATAGATCTCAGAATTTTAAGAAACACCCCTATAAAGCCTTATTTAGTAAAAAACTCAAAATTTACAGGCAATTTCAGTGGAATAAATTAGAGTAAACAGTGACTTATTTGTTTCTACTGGGGCAGACGATAGTAGACTATTTCCAGAAAGGCAAACATCAATAAAGCGCTCATCTCCTAAAAGAGATGAGTCTTAGATTAGACTACTCTTCTCCGCATGCTTAAGCGTTGCGTGACGAGACAAAAACGGCTGTGAGGGAGACTATAGATTGTTGAACTGGTCAGACTTGAGCTGAGATTGAAGTTCCCACTGGTGGGAATTGGTGCAAAGGCAATACGTAGTCGCCTGTTTTGTCTCTTCTAGGGTAGATTTCGGCCGACATCCTGCGTCGAATATGGACAGCAAGGTGCCTCCAAAGATGGCATTTATAAGATCTATGACGACGGCGGAAACAGCTTCCCAGCCTACTGTGATCTAAAATCAGAGCCCGGTATTGCATGGACTCTGGTCATGTCTTGGAGTACAGAAAATCGCCTTCTTTCTGCTTTTGGAAACGCCGTTCTTCAGGTCAATGCCCAAGAAAACGACAACTCCCCGAATTGGGATCGTTACCGCTTAAGTCTGGAGCGAATGCGATCCTTGCAGGTTCACTCCACTCACTGGCGAGCAACATGCAGCTATCCGACTACAGAGACTACCTCCGTGGAAACTTCAAAGACTTCAACATCGTCGATTTCCTTGGTAATGGCGAGTGTAAGAGGGTAGAATATGTGGATATTCGAGGGCACAATGGCACGAACCTCACGGTACCGTTTTGGCAGCAAAAGAACTCTTGGATAATGCATACTATCAGCAGTTTACATCACTGCGAGTTCAGCGCATCCGTTGGAGCGGTAGACAATGAGGACAACTTTGGCTTTTATGGTGAAATTAATCAAAAGTTCCGCTGCACACAGGCAGACAACTCTACTACTCAGTGGTGGTTTGGAGCTCATCTTAAAAAATAGTTTCTGGAAAATGAGATTACACAGCTCCCATGTCAGAACTAAGGGGGCCTGCAAATTGGACCACCATTATAAACAGACGAAATGCATTCAGTATTAGTTTAGAAGATTTAAATTGTTGAAGATGTACACTCTTAAGATTAGAAACTCTTCTTTTTTGCTGATAAGCAGTGATTTTACAGTTAAATGCAGTATTTTTCATTGCTTGACTGACCTCTCTGTGTATAATTGTTAGAGAATTGTTTTTGGTTTTCATCACTTGACTCATCATCGAATATTAACGGTTAAACATTTCTCACTAAAATGGGGTCAAAACGACAGGTTTTTCTAATAATTTTTGAAAAACTCCTGGGGTGGCTCTGAAAAGGTTCGCCTTGTATGCGCGTGAAATAGGAATGGGTAATTAAGAGGAAAATGGTCACCTTTTAAAGCAGCTTATTGAGCTTTTTCTATGCCGGAGACGTAAACAAAAACATTTTTCCTCTACAAAAGTCGAGGGTCGTATTACCTGCCACCCTTTGGCCTAGCTGTGCCAGCTTCGCTTTGCCCCCGCTTTGCCGTTAATCATTCATTTCCCAAACCTTAATGAAAAAGAGCATTAGAAAAAATAAAAGTGTAAACGATGACTAGTTATAAGGTAAAAACCAACTGTAAGGGTAAAAACTGATAATTGTAACCGTTGTGAAACTGTATGGAGATTAAGAACTGTGAAGAGAAGAGGCAAATTACAAGATTACATGCAGAGCTACAGCCCGCATCACCGTGGCACAAGTGAGACCCACAAGTTTATTTGCTTTTAGCTATTTAATGTTTTACTAAATAAAGTGTTTGCTTGCTCATTTCACATACCTAGTTTAGCAATTTGAATCCCTTTTACTGAACTACTGTTTGTGCACTATGTTTTAAATACTGTTCAAAAAACGAGCAGGAGTGTATTATCAGGTTTACTAAAAATAAATACTTTTATAATTTTGGTCTAAAACTTAGACGTAAAGTTTAGCCTTGTCTTTATCGATATAAAAACACTCATTAAACATTACTTTCGTTTGTTTCTTCTTTCTGAACTATTAATGAGTTTTTTGAGATAATGAAGAAAAGAAAACCGGGAAACTTTCTCGACTTTTTCAGAGCCATTAAACCTCTTGTCAGCCTTTTTAGATCCTTTTACGGACCGAAATGACAGATTTTCCTACCCTTTTATGTACGCAGTCAGCTAGTGAAATCCCTACCCTTTCATATACCTTTCATATAACCATCTCGGGCGGAGCCTCCCCGTATAGGCCATTATAGGGGGTACTCCACTGGGTTTAGTGCCCTTTCTTGGGTCCTTTATACTTAACAGGAATGGGAAACTTTAAAAAAAGGAACACAACAGAGCAGTAAGCAAGGTGGCTCAAAGTTACGGATCCAAGCTATTATTAATCTGGAATAACATTTCTAGGGTAAATTAAGTAGACACTTAACTGTCTCCTTGCCTTACCTCCATATATTTCGAACGTGAAAGCATTAGTAGAGAAAATTTGATAAAACATCAAAGCGCTTTCCCTGTTGTGATCATTTTATGAATTCTCATAAACTTTTCTCTTGATGGTGTATGAATGATTTCGGGAAAAAATCGATTTGGTCAGCCTTGGCATATACCAATAACTGTTTTAACCGTCTCACTCATACGTCACATTATGGCGGGATTATTAACGTTTTAATCAGTCCGGAATATCCCTAAATTTAAGGACAGGGCCAACTGGTCACGCGACACTTTTCAACCAATGAGAAGGCGCGCTTGTGTTTATCAACAAACAAATCAAAACATCGCCCCAGTGATCAAAATTTTTCAAAAAAACGGACGGAGTCAGACAGAATTAAAGATGAGCTTACAGTACTCGTCTAGGTTTCACATTTAATATTTCAAAGAAAACATTTCATGTAATAGAATAAGAGCATTAATCATTGCAAGGAATCATTGGGGTGTTCGAATTGATTCCGGATCGATCGCAGAGGTCGTGGTTTCACTGGCATGGCTTGCAAGATTTTTGATGGAAGCAAACTGGTCCCGTGTAAAAATAGCCTTAAAGAGAGTGTGAAAATTTGTTGAAATCGTACAAAACAGGATTGTACTACCCATTAACTTCTACAGGACAAGAATCAAAGAACCAGTCATCATAACAAGAATAGAAAGTACTTCAAATTTATTAACTTTTCTTGTTTGTTTTTTTTGTGTTGTTTCGCTTTTACTTCACGCATCTGGTGCTCCCTCTGGTGCTTTCTTTGCTTGCTGTAGTACCTGCAATGTTTTAATTTTATCCCAGATAATCAGTGCATGTTCAATGAGTTGCGAAATACATCATTTATAATTGAGATTTGCATTGTTTCTTTGATTGTTTTTTAACGGTGGATGAACATTTGGAGAATCCAACAACATTAAATCTTTCCAGATTAGTGAATTTCAGAAACAAAGCGGTTAGTATCTACCCTTACGCTTATGATCTTCAATTTCATCTCCGCAAATTCGGCAAAGTGAGGCGAGATGTTGGACGTGAATATCCATCAGATCCATAAGACTAATAAAGTTGTTTTGGCCTTGAAAAGAAAAAAGGCAAAGGCTCGTACTAATGCGAAAAAAAGTAATAACACGGCTCTGTGAGAAACCCGGGAGTGGAAAACGTACGTTTTTTGGACCTCGGAATTCAAAAATTGTCTTCCAAAATTCTAGGTTGTCTACCATCTCCACTTCAACATGACAAAAGTTAATCGACATGACAATCGAGAAAAAATATCTAGAACTTCGTAAAAAATCTGTGAATCGAAAAAATAATAGATACTTGTTCACCTACCTTGAAAACCGACTAAAATCTCGCCTATACATCGCGTTGTTTAAAAGATCAAAGAAGAAATAAGCCACAAAATGTGCTGAATATTTCACGAGACACTTCCAATACGGCTTCCGATACGCTGTCCACTTAAAAAATTGTGTATGCCTCATGAAAGTCATTAAAATATGCCTGAGAGCCCCGAAACGATGACTGATTCTGTCCGACTCCGTCCGTTGTTTTGAAAGTTTTTGATCACTGGGGCGATGTTTGATTTGTTTGTTGATAAACACAAGCGCGCCTTCTCATTGGTTGAAAAGTGTCGCATGACCAGTTGGCCCTGTCCTTAAATTTAGGGATATTCCGGACTGTTAATCTGTTGTTAAAATTCTTTTGTACTTTCATTTCAATGAATGAAAGTTCTTTGGCAGAACGTTTGAGAGGGATTATTTATTTTTAACTATTTTACAAGACGAAATTGTATTTCTTTGGTGTGATTTCTTTTACTTTCACCTGTAAAAAGAACTGAAAAAGGGGTAATATCTATTCAATTTAGCCAAGAAGCAGGCTGTCGAGTTGGGTTTTCGCGCTGCATTCGTTCCGTGTTACTCACGCGAGATTTTACAACCCTGCAGGGGTGGGTTGGAAAGGTACACTCTAAGAACCCCCACGACCTAAACAAGCGATGAGTATTGGCAGGAGAGGATAAAGGGAGACGCTCAATTGTAAAGAGGATCATGTTGAATTTGATTACTGACTGAAGCTTGTGTTTATTCATTCCGAAACAGTCGACGACAGTAAGTGTTTGAGAAAACCGAAACTAAGATCGGAGCTAAAAACTCACTCATCTTGCATTAATTTTTAGGAACCGCATTGAACACTTATTTCTTTTCACATTATTTTCTTTATGAATTATTTGAGACATTTTTGAAACATATTTTAGGGCTATAGGTATTCGCAAAAATAGACCAAAACATTTCGATAAATTAAAAATTTGTTAAAATTCATTCTTGGCTCCGAGCCTTGGATAACAAAAGAAATCACCTTATATAATCACCTTATATAATACATTTCTTTCGTTTTATTTCTCCAATCCTCGAAGCCAAGAATGAATTCTAACATATATATCTAAATTGGTGTATTAGGTTTTGAAGATTAAAAAGTACAAACCTTAATTCTAGTTGAAGACCTTAAAACCAGCTAAATTAGCCGGCGATCGCTCAAAGAAATTTTATCGTTGCCTTTTATTAGTAATTATGAACTACCTTGAAAAAAAAAATATTTGTTTAATAATTTATACATTATGTGCAACATCAACCGCAAGTAAGAAGTAATTTAGTCCTATTTTTCCTTGCCAAGTCGCTAGGCCCAATTATTCCGCGCAGTCTTTGCGTTTCGGGTCACGTGATTTGAGCGAGTTTCACCTTGGATACGTCACCGAAATGCATTGACCGAGAAGGTCTGGGAAAATGCCGCATTGGGACTAGGCACTACTTTCCCTTCAGCACGGTAGCGAATGGAGAGACCGCGGGCTCATCACTTGAGGTGACGCCCAGCA